CCCCAAAACCCCAAAACCCCAAAACCCCAAAACCCCGTAAGAAATGTATTATCCTAAATCTTGAGATTAAAGTAAAGAATTATTTAATATTAAGAAGTAGATTTTATCAATCAATTTAATCAATATTTAGTATTCATTCAGTTACAAACTGTGGTTCTTTACCTTTTTTGTATTTACTAAATCTAAGGGCATGATTACCATGACCAGGAATAGAAGGCACTGTATAAGTTTCTGAGGAGAATGGACCTAATGTCTTGTGTTCCCATAAATCTCTAACAAGATATACTTCATCATTCTTTAGCTCTAGACCTATTTCATTTACGCTGAATGAGAATTCCCCGTGATTAAGCTCCCTCCAGTTAATTATTACAGCAGCAACATCTTTGTTGGACATAGGTGCAGCAATAACTTAAGGTCTTCTCCAGATAAATTCTAATGGGCCACAGTTGACCATGCACAAGCCTTGCTTTCCAAGTGTATCTTGACTCACACCTATAACCTCAGTATTCTTTAAAATCTCAAGACTTTCAGGTCTTATGTTTTACAAATCATTTCCCATAATAAGGGGACCTTTAGCGATTGCCCATAGAGCAAAATGGGATCTTTCCTCATTAGGAGTCATACCATTATTTCCTATTTAAAGCATATCTGGATCGTTCCAGTGACCTGGGCCTGCATGTTCAGCGAACTTTTAATTTTGGTTAAAGTTATATTCCACAGACGTAAAATGATTGAAGATATCTTGGGTCGTTCTCCAGCTGTTGCCAACTTCTTTTCCCCATACTGGAGCATTTTCATCACCCCAATTGCAAATACTAAAAAATACCTATCTACCAGTTTTTCTTAGCTCATCACTCATCTTCTTGAATCTCTAGTAATTAGGCTGCCCGCCATGATTGCAATTATCATATTTTACATAGTCTACTTCCCAACTTGCTAGATCCTTGGCATCAATCTCCTCACTTCCCATACTTCCAGCGCGATGTTCGCAGGAGAAATATCCAGCTGAAGAATAAAGCCCGAATTTCAAGCCCTTTGAGTGAATATAGTCTGAAAGTGCTTTCATGCCAGAGGGAAAAGCTTTTGGATCAACAATAATGTGTCCATCTTTATCTCTCTGCTCTAGAAGCCAGCAATCATCAACATTGACGTATTAGTAGCCTACTTTATCTAATCCTAACTTAACAATATAGTCAGCAGTTTCCATAATCAGCTTCTCATTGATCTTACATCCAAATTTATTCCAAGTATTCCATCCCATTTATGGTGTTAGTCCAAGACCATTATCTAGAGCAAGTGTTTGAGTAGCAATTAGAAGTGCTAATGTTGCTATTTTCCCAATCGAGTTCCTGAATTAACTCATATCTTTTCTTATATTATTTAATTTATATAAATTGCCTTATAAACTTTATTCTATCATAATGGGGTTTTGGGGTTTTGGGG